TCTGAGACACCTTTGGGTAGTGAAGGGCGGGGTATAAATCCAATCTCTTCTTCTTCTTCGCTAAAGAATGCCAATTTTACTCATCAGTTGTGATAAGCTTTATTGAAATGCCCTTTGTTTTTTTTCAAAACAAATACAAAACAGACCATTCTTTCCTGTTAAAATATATATATGCACATATAATATGACAATATATCAAATCCTTCATAGGTAATAAAGTATATTAAAGTGCTTGGAAGGGGGGGGGAAGCTTTTTCTTCATCAGTAGCGACAAAGGAATGTAGGGCCTTTGAAACAAGATACGAAGGGTGTGTGTAGTGCAAATCGGGTTATGTCTCCTTCTCCTGGAAGCCCAGGTTTAGAGGTTGTTCCCCTCCTTAGCTAAAAGGAGAACACAGTTTAATTTCACAGTTTATCTCGAGAACACAGCCTAGAAACCAGGCAGGACCGTGGCTTGAGAGAGACCGCTACGAAGAGCAAAGGGGAAACCAAAGACGTGAACGCAGACACAGAGAGAACGGCTGTGACATTGCAACAGCTTAAAAAATTCTTTCCAAGCTCCATGCGGCAAAGGAGTTAATGGAAAGCAGTTTGCCAGGCAGAACAGTTTTCATAATGCCCCTGAAAATTCGGGGTTTGGTCATTGGGGGGTGGTGGAATTTGCTTTGTGGTTTGGTTTTTTTGTGAACACCCAGGGTGCAGTCAGACGCACCATTTGATCTGGTGTCGTCACACTTCAGAAACAGATTTTATCTGCATGATCACACAGTCAACATCTGCCTCCCGTCCCCAACCGTTGGTTTCTGGCTCAAAACTGCTCTAACCCAAAGTATTTTGTCACCAGGTCCCAAAGTGGTGTTTTCTCAGCTCTCCCGTTTAAAGCTGCATTTCCCCCCTGTGTGATCACTCCTCCGGTGTCGAGCCACTTCCGGTTTAAACCCCCTGCCCGCTCCCCGAGGTTTCCGCTTTTCGCCCACCATTTTTTTAATGCGCTGGCGGTGTGCGCATAGGCAGAGCTCTGCCACCGCATTTAGAAAACCGACATTTAAACGGGTCACTTGTTTTAGCGTTTAGATGAGTTCGGGATCTCACGGAGGCCATTTTCAGGTCTAATTTTTAAAGGGAAGTCTTTTGTTGGAGGGGTTGGATTGAGTCGCCTCGCCCTGGTGGTTCTGCGCATGCGCCATGATAGTTTCCCTCCCATTCTACAGATGAGCGCCTATACGCATGCGCAAACTGAGAAAAAAATTAAAAACCCGCCGACGCACACTCCCGCATGTCAGTAGTGTAGAC